TTAATTCATTTTTAAATATATCACATATTATATGTAAATCTCTTTCTTATGAAGTACGACTTTCATGTAAAGAAGTGTATGACACTTATGAAACTATCGTCCTCAAATAAAGGTGCATTCATTCATTCTGTCTGTCTGTCTTTCTTTCTGTCTGTCTTGAACTCAGCCAGACTCCAGGGAATTGCGTATAAAAACCCGAAATACCCATGATCAGATTTACTATATTATACGTTGAACTTGCAATGCTAAGTTTTTGAAAGGTTTCTATACTCGACTTAAAATCTCAAGCGATCAATACGATCATATTAGACTTTCATTGACAAAGTTCTTCACAAGAATCCCAAATTTGAATTGCTATTCGAGTACGAAAGAGCGCTGAACTTTAAATACGGCACTTCCACAGACACCGAGCCGATAATAGGTAATCTGAAGGAAAAAGCGTTATTAGCCAATCAAATCGCGAATTGTGTATTCGGAAAAAGAGTCAATCCCATGCATATTTTCCCGTCAAAACCTTGATGTGCAGGGGAAAACAAAATGGCGGACAAGGAAATTGCAAGGAGAAACGTCATTTAGCCGAGGTTTTAAAATTTAAAATCTTTCCGCTTAGTGTCTTTCCAAAAGAATACGAAGCTTAATTTAACAATATTTATCCAAATTGGTCGCTATTTCGCGATTCGGGCGGGTATAGGAGAAATATATTGAAGTTATATATATATAGATATTTAGCATAAACCTACTAGCATACTATCACGAATCCTGCAATCTGACTGGCTAAAGTACTCACTATCTATCCTGTGATAGATAGCGAGTAGCGAAAAACAAACAAGTGCATAGTCAAGTTTCGTCGAAATCTCTGCTTGTTCTCTAAAAAACTTTAAAAATCGATTGTAGAAAAGGCAAGACTGCATCAAGGAAAGGAATTGATCTTTTGAACGGTACAGATAAGTAAAAACTGAAGAATTATGGCAATTCTAACACGAAAAAAGCGGCCGTCAGATTTCACTGAGATTTTCATGTGCAAACTTTACGACGGACAAACAACTGACTACGGAAATAATGATGGCATTTTAAAAGCATTCCCTCAAAGAACAGAAAAAATCCAAAAGACAACTTATTCACATGTATTCAAGAAGAATTTTAAACG